ACTATAGAGTTAATTTCATTGAAACACATATTATTTGCATGTCTCCTGACAATGTGTGAAAAAATTATAAATCGGAACATTGTTGAACACACATGTAGCTTGTTATGTCTCCTGATGTGGCTTGTCATATCCACATGTATGATCTCCTGATGTAGAACATGTAGCTTGTCATCCTCACTGTTCTCCTGATGTAGAGTCACATGTAGTCTCTTGTCATGTCAGATCAGATAAAGCTTGATATCTAGACAACATGTAGCTTATTATGTCTCCTGATGTAGACCAGATCTGGCTTGTCATATCTCCTGATGTAGACCACATGTAGCTTGTCATGTCTCCTGATGTAGACCACATGTAGCTTGTCATATCTCCTGATGTAGACCACATGTAGCTTGTCATGTCTCCTGATGTAGACCACATGTAGCTTGTCATGTCTCCTGATGTAGATCACATGTAGCTTGTCATGTCTCCTGATGTAGATCACATGTAGCTTGTCATGTCTCCTGATGTAGATCACATGTAGCTTGTCATGTCTCCTGATGTAGATCACATGTAGCTTGTCATGTCTCCTGATGTAGATCACATGTAGCTTGTCATGTCTCCTGATGTAGATCACATGTAGCTTGTCATGTCTCCTGATGTAGATCACATGTAGCTTGTCATGTCTCCTGATGTAGACCACATGTAGCTTGTCATGTCTCCTGATGTAGATCACATGTAGCTTGTCATGTCTCCTGATGTAGACCACATGTAGCTTGTCATGTCTCCTGATGTAGATCACATGTAGCTTGTCATGTCTCCTGATGTAGACCACATGTAGCTTGTCATGTCTCCTGATGTAGATCACATGTAGCTTGTCATGTCTCCTGATGTAGATCACATGTAGCTTGTCATGTCTCCTGATGTAGATCACATGTAGGCTTGTCATGTCTCCTGATGTAGACCACATGTAGCTTGTCATGTCTCCTGATGTGATGTAGATGTCTCCACATGTAGCTTGTCATGTCTCTTGATGTAGACCACATGTAGCTTGTCATGTCTCCTGATGTAGATCACATGTAGCTTGTCATGTCTCCTGATGTAGATCACATGTAGCTTGTCATGTCTCCTGATGTAGATCACATGTAGCTTGTCATGTCTCCTGATGTAGACCACATGTAGCTTGTCATGTCTCCTGATGTAGACCACATCTAGCTTGTCATGTCTCCTGATGTAGATCACATCTAGCTTGTCATGTCTTCTGATGTAGATCACATGTAGCTTGTCATGTCTCCTGATGTAGACCACATGTAGCTTGTCATGTCTCCTGATGTAGACCACATGTAGCTTGTCATGTCTCCTGATGTAGATCACATGTAGGTTGTCATGTCTCTTGATGTAGACCACATCTAGCTTGTCATGTCTCCTGATGTAGATCACATGTAGCTTGTCATGTCTCCTGATGTAGACCACATCTAGCTGGTCATGTCTCCTGATGTAGATCATGGCTATTCAACTGGCAGCCCACAGACTGAATCAATCCCGCAGAGACATAGCAAGTGGCCAACAGATTATTGCCAACCGTACTGTATTAATAATCAATCTTTTTAAGCTGGGGCTCAGGCTACTAGCCTGAAGCAATCTCAACTTTTAATATTCTGGCCCCTGAGTAAACTTAGTTGAATAGTCTTGGCGTAAAGAGACCATTGAAATGGACCATACTTGACTTTACTGCCTGCATTTACCAAGTTTTAGGGCAGGAGAGTCCTGAGTCTGAGGATTCAACTATTTCAGTCCCAAGCATTTGTTTCTTCAACTCCTTCTTTCTACACAATCGCTCAAAATAATAACACCAGTTAGCCAACAAATGTGAACACAGTAATCACTCAGCAGTGAAATGTATCTCATCATCATCATCATGTAGCAGGTCCTTTGCAGAACGTCGCTCTCATCACAGTCTGCCTGAAAGAAACTCGGTCTCTCGCCAGTTCTCCCGCCTCATGAACTTTCACACCCAAGGAGTCACTTTTATCCTGTGCCCATCTTCGTGTCGATCGGCCCCTGCCCCTCCTGTCTGGTACCATGCCTTCTGCTATAATTTTTTCCAATCCGTCGTGGCGCTTGATATGTCCAAAATATTTCAGCTTTTTGAGAAAGGATGCTGTCTATTAGCCAATCTTTCTTGATGTTCAGATCTTCTAAGATGTCAATTTTCACAACTACCCCTACTTGCTCTGCCATCGTTCTCTTTCCCAGTTCGCATTTGTGATCTGCCTGGCCTGGGGGGGGGGGGGGGGGGGGGGGGGGGGCCTCACCATCAGATCTTTGAGTTTCATTTTTGGCCTTCATGATGAGTTTCTTGGGATAGTAATGTGGTAGTTTCCCGTTGCTTTCCACGTCCACATGGCTTTAGTCTATGTCCTCAGCCTTCAGCAACCTTTTCGATTGCTAGGGCAAGGAAATGTATCTACTTGTTCAATATTTGAGGTCTTTGAATACATTACAGTAGCAATGTGTTGCATGAAGTTTTTAACAACTGGTATAAACATTTTGACACTACATTTATTCAGACATGAAGAGATGCATACAAGTTACAATGTGATGTATGAAGTTACTACAGGTGCTTTAAGTGATTCCCATTAGCCTCCAGACAGTTTTCATAACCAACATACAAAACCTAGCTACCGTAATTCCATCAAAATATGGCCAAATGTAGCAAGCAATGATGACGTTGTAAAACAAGTAAATGCTTCCACATTTCACTGCTGGGCTTACTGTGTACAATTTTTGTTGGGCTAACTATGTTTTTTTTTTTTTTCAACAAAAAAAAAGATTCAAACAATAACAAAATGGGTCAAAGAAACTAAAGTAATAATTTTGACAGAATGGATTAATCTCACAGCTGGGTGGACCATAAGAAAGACCTAACATGTCTGGGAACCATAATAAATGTGTGGTGAGTAGATTGATACTGAAAGAGTGAAGGCAGTATGGCTAGTGCAATCGCAATGGACTGTGCAGGTGAAATTTACTATGATTAAGTACATGCAATCTTTCTTTGTCACTTGAGATGAGTCAGAGAATTCTTAAAAGCTACATTAATCCTATCCTGGTATATGGAAGTGAATCATGGACAGCTGGTCTATGAGTGAAAGATTTTTTGGAAGTTGCAGGGATGTGGTTTTATAGACGAATGATGAGACTACCCTTGACACATAAAAAAAAAGAGTAATGAAGATGTCTTGAAATAGACGATCTCGCGAAGATAACTGATTGCCCACATCAGAAGTAGACAATCTACATTCTTTGGTCTTGTTATGAGAAGAAGACAACTGGAGTACATTGTGACAATGGGAATGTTGGAGGGAAGAGGCAGAGGGAGACCAAGAGAGAGAAGATGCTGGACAGTTTGTCATCACAGTATGGAGGATCATTTGTGTCATAGTTGATTGAAAGCACACAAGACAAGGTTGTGGACAGACATGATTACTGACACACAAGACAAGGTTGTGGACAGACATGATTACTGACACACAAGACAAGGTTGTGGACAGACATGATTACTGACCCACAAGACAAGGTTGTGGACAGACATGACTACTGACACACAAGACAAGGTTGTGGACAGACATGACTACTGACACACAAGACAAGGTTGTGGACAGACATGACTACTGACACACAAGACAAGGTTGTGGACAGACATGACTACTGACACACATGGCAAGGACTTTAAGAAAAAGAAGTACATCAAAGTAAAATTAATTATACCTGCAGGGTTGCCTGCCCCTCTTCATTATACATCATCATCACCCGGGAGCTTGGGCCAATCATCTGTGAGTCCTGGTATCGCCATGACACCACAGGTCTGGGTCGGCCGCACAGTTTACAGGTCAAGGTAGCCACATCGCCAGCTTGCACTGTCAGACTTGTGAGAGGTTGCTGTATGATTGGAGGCAGGTCGAAACCAAGCTCCGATGCTGAGAACTGAACAATGAATGATATGTGTGAGTCATTTAGACATTTTCCTACATTTTCTTTTCCTGACATTACATATATAACATACACTCTGCCCTTTGTCTTACAGTATGTTAAATGACAGCTGCCTCTGTGTAGTGGCTAGACGCTCACCTGCAGATCCGGCAAGACTCACACTGTTATAGCCCTCAGTAGATGATGGGATCTACATCAGGCCAGTCACTTTTACTTCCCAGGATATTACTTGGTAGCCATTTTAGGCCAGGATGACCTGGAAGCCAAGGAAATTTTTTTTTAACAATCCATCTCGATGCGGATTTGAACTCAAGCATTACTTTTTGAGTCGGCACTACCAAGTGTCTAACCACTACCTTACTGCAGCTCCCTATTACGGCTGCACATTAAATAATAACTGCAGCTGAAGTTCAAACTTCATATCAAATGGGTCACCCCAAAGTTGTGCAAAAATTGACAGTTATCAGTCTCAGCAAGGCCAGTAGCAGACACATGCATTAAATGCATAAGGCAGCTATCAGGAGTGCCAGCATAAACAGTCTGGCACACTAGAAGCAGCAGTTACAACAGATCAGTAGCTGCACAGGCAATTATTGCATAAAGTACCACCAGTTCTCTGTCAACGGGCTGCTCACTATTTCCTGAATCTGCACAATAAAAACCCCATTTGGCATGGTTGAAAAGCATTCCAAATGAAATCTACAGCTCACAGTGGTGTGCCATGCACTCAACTCAGTATCTAGGAGATGGAACAATATCTTTTTAAGGAAAGTAAAACAGCTTTTATCAGGAGCAAAAACTTGCCATGATGAAAAACAGCAATCCCGTCTATCTGCCACATTGACTGAAAGTTTTAAGATTTAATATCATGAAAGGCTACCTGAAGAAATCAGATGTGTCTGCCGAAAGATGCAAATATCATAGCCATGCTGTAAAAGTGTAGAATATATTTATGTCCATGGATGAATGAACAAGACGAAAATTTAACGACAGATATGAATAAATTAAAAATGAACAAGCCAAACACTCACTTTGACTTTTGGCTTGCCATCCCTTCCTAAAGATTTTGATTTTCTTTCTAAGCTGCTCATGCCGTCCATATCTCTGTCCTTTTTCTCCTTACCATCCAGATCAGAGCGCTGCGGTGAGCGGAACATCGGCTTCTTAATTTTGAACATTTGTTTTGATGATTTCCTGCTGAAGTAACACAAACCGTTTAGAATATCTGAATCACATTTCTTGAACCTTTCAGTATCTGTCAATGCTAACAATATAACTACAGAGTTCGTGTACTGGAACCCACGTGGTCAATGGAATAAAGGCTGACATAAAAAAAATTGATCCTACTGGCTGCCTTGAGTTACTAGGATATTTTCTGATGTCTATTTCAGGACGGATTCACTGGACAGCCAAATTTATTTTGTTATTAAAAAACCTGCCTCAAAGTGGATTTAGACCAAAGATCTTTGGGCCAGAGCTTTCCAAACTTTTCATGTTGGCAACACACTTTATTGACAAACATAATTTTGTGGCACAGCAACTTGAAAACCAGAGGTTAAACTAGCCATTTTATAGGAGATATGGAAACAGACATAAACTTCATTTGTGCAATGTGCCATTCATATTGCAACCTACTCACTATTGTGTACTGAGTTAACACATCTCACACTTAGAAGGAAAAAATTTAAAAATATGTGTGTTCATCTAGATCAGGGCTATTCAACTGGTGGCCTGTGTACCAGCTACATTGTATTAATGATCTTTCTATTCTGGGGCTCAGGTCACTGGCCCGTGACAATCCCCAGAGTCCTAATTTTGGCCCCTGAGTAAACTTTGTTGATTAGGCCTGATCTAGGTATAGATTTGACAACACAGCATACAGGACTAGCTCATATTAGCTCTGTCTCTCTACTCAACAGCCAATAATACTGATGTTTCGATACTGATGGTACTAGTTGTCATTTGGATAACTACTCGTCTTGCAACATCCCCCCCCCTTCCCCCCCCCCCCCCCCCCAAACTGAGTACCGAGTGAGAGTAAAAAAAAAAAAAAAACAGTAACAATGCCATGAATACTTACTTCAGACTTCCATCTCCATCTCTTGGGCCAATGATGTGGCTCGGTACCCAACCTTCTGCAGCAGGGGATACCTGGTTAGCCGGCCGGTGAATTAGGTACATGTTCTGGTGGTTGGTGTTCAGTATTTGAACCAGCTCTCCCTTGGAAACTGTCACCTCATCCTCTTTAATGGCTTGGTAGTCGAAGAGGATTCTTCCACTGGTCAGTGGTGTCTCTGGTTGGTGTTGCTACAATGAGATGGATTGAAGATTTGTGCATATATGATCACAACAGTGTTTAACTGTACAAATACATAAGGTAATCAAATGGGCAAGATAACCCTAACCAGTCATAAATTATCAGTACAGAAACACAAGATAAACAAACGGGCAAGATAACCCTAACCACTCAATGATTAATGGTACAAATATAAAAAGGTAAACAAATGAGTAAGATAACCATAACCAGAAAATGATAAATGAAACAAATACATAAGGTAAACAAATGGGCAAGATAGTTACAGTACAGATTCATATATCATAAGGTGTATTAAGTATATGGCGTTCACGCATGTGTGCCATTTATGCCCTACCGGCTGCTGCCTGAAAAGTGTGACACTTTGAGATCAGAAGATCTCAATCTGGATGGCAGACCAAAAGGACCTGAAGGTCTGACACTATGAGAATCTCTAAGCTGACAGCGGACCAACAGGGCCTGAAGGTCTGACACTATGAGAATCTCTAAGCTGACTGTTGACCAACAGGACCTGAAGGTCTGACACTATGAGAATCTCTATGCTGACAATTGACCAACAGGACCTGAAGGTCTGACACTATGAGAATCTCTAAGCTGACAGTGGACCAAAAGGACCTGAAGGTCTGACACTATGAGAATCTCTAAGCTGACAGCGGACCACAGGACCTGAAGGTCTGACACTATGAGAATCTCTAAGCTGACAGCCGACCAACAGGACCTGAAGGTCTGACACTATGAGAATCTCTAAGCTGGCAGTGGACCAACAGGACCTGAAGGTCTGACACTATGAGAATCTCTAAGCTGACAGTTGACCAACAGGACCTGAAGGTCTGACACCATGAGAATCTCTAAGCTGACAGTGGACCAACAGGACCTGAAGGTCTGACACTATGAGAATCTCTAAGCTGACAGTGGACCAACAGGACCTGAAGGTCTGACACTATGAGAATCTCTAAGCTGACAGTGGACCAACAGGATCTGAAGGTCTGACGCTATGAGAATCTCTAAGCTGACAGTGGACCAACAGGGCCTAAGGAGGAGACTCTGAATGTGGCACTAGCACTGTATTTTTAGAGAACAAATGGCCTCCAAAAGGTAATGAATTAACATTAGACTGGCTGTATCCACTTCCTAGAAAATTTCCTGGTACCAGTTTTAGACTAGGCCAACCTAGCGGCCCAGGTCAATGAGCCGTAGAAACTTAAACCCAGTGCAATGAAGTCAATCCTCGTGCCTTGAGATATCCGTCTTAAGATACAATAATAGTTTGGGTATACAGAGCCTTCTAAATTCATGTTAGTTAGTTAGTTAGTTAGTTGGGTTATCCTCATTGCACTCCGGACATGTCCATAGGTGCTCAGATCCTCCCCTCAGTATGAACCCCAATGTCCGAGGGCTAATAGTACCAGTTACATGTTGATTAACAAGTCTTCTGGTGTGTCTGGTGTGGGTCTCGTTTTTTGCTAAGCCGATCTTAATTCCCAAGTCTGCCATTCTGGCGAGTGATGTGGATTCACTGCCCCCAAAGTCCTCTATCCTTCCCCTTTCTCTGAGTGCATTAATAACATCAGCATGATCCATAGGCTGACCATAGGTAGTGATAGCGGTTCCAGACAACCTATCAGCTCTTTCATTTTCATCAAGGCCTGCATATCCCGGAACCAAAAATAAAGGTGACTCCACGCACAGTGGACTTCTGTAATGATTCAAGCCATTGTCTACGCACCAGAACTGCCTGAACAAGGCGTAGTAGTTTAATGTAATAACTGAATAGAACAGAAAAACTGAAGCAACATTAACAGATGAATAGAAGATACTCAATACATGGAAAGACACCAAAGCAGGCTCTTTACTTTTTTAAGTGCAAGACTGCATGCCTTGTTTCATTCAAAGTTTCCATCAGGAAAAAAAAAAAAAAGGAAATAAATAAATAAAATAGATATGTGAATGCATAAAGTTATTACTTACTGAAGAAAATCACAACTTCTATTTAGCATTAAAATGTGGCTTTAAAACTTCAACATGTGAATCGCAGTGTTAAATAAATTGTATAAAATGTCTGAACAAAGAAGATGCAAACAATGCAATGCACAATTTATTGCCTGGCAAATGTCTCTGTTTACAGTAACAGTTGAAAACAATTAAGCAAATAAATAAATATTTTTTTAATGAATGTTTCACAACTGAAATACAAAATCAACCACAATCAAACAGGTAACTAACTATTTTATTAGGGCAAGCTAATGGCTCATGGCCATATTTTATGAAATATCCCAGGCAATAAATTATGTAATCTATCATTTGTGCCTTCTTTGTTCATAATTAATCTTGTGTTTGCTAATGTGGACCTACACATTTAAACGTTCATTATCCTATACATAAAGCTACAGTAAATGAGATAATAAAATGTACACAGGAAGTAACATTCTAGTCAGCACAAAAGGCACAGACCTTAGCTTCAGCATAAGTTCCCCGGGAGCGTAAACATTACAGTCGTGAACTAAACAAGGCATCAACAGTGAATTGCAATTCTAGTGTGGGACTGCTAGCGTTGGCAAATCTGACAGTGCCTGATTCATTTACTTTGCGTGTGCTAATTAGTTGCTTGGACGATATGCTTGTTAGGGAGGCACAGAGTCTATTTCCCCCTCCCCCAAATAGGGTGTGGCAACCCATACAGGGACTTAGGTGTAGTAAGTCAAAGACCCCTTCCAAAGACCCCTTCCAAAGACCCCTTCCAAAGACCCCTTCCAAAGACCCCTTCCAAAGACCCCTTCCAAAGACCCCTTCCAAAGACCCCAGCTCAGACATCAGGTCCATGATGCTACAGCTATATGTTTACAGATCATTCAGCACTCGGGGGGTGGGGGAAGGGGTGATGTGGTTGGTCACCATCACGCTGGCTGCCTTTACTGTCCCTGGTCATTACTTGGTACCTTGGTACCCATGTTAGGCTGGGTCGACTTAACTCGCTGCAGATGCATGTAATATGAATGCGGCGTCATAGTGTATGTAAAAACTCATAGCTGGACATTCTGTTAACCCATTCTGTCCCAGCCTGTTGTTATTTTAATCCTTTCTGTTCCAGATCATTGTTATTTTAACGATTTCTGTTCCAGAATGTTGTTACTTCAACTCTTTCTGTCACAGACTGATGTTACTTTACCCCTCTCTGTATCAGGCCATAGTTACTTTAACCTTTCCTGTATATAAGACAGGGTTTCTTTAACCTTTCCTGTATATAAGACAGGGTTTCTTTAACCTTTCCTGTATCAAACTGTTGCTACTTTAATCCTTTTTAACCAGACCATTGTTACTTTAACCTTTCCTGTTCCAGTCCATTGTTACTTTAACCCTTTCTGTATAACCCTTTTTGTCACAGACTGCTGTTGCCTTAACCCATTCTGCCTCAGACCGTTGTTACTTTAACGTTTTTTTGGTTCTAGAATGTTGTTACTTCAACTCTTTCTATCCCAGACTGTTGTTACTTTAACCCTCTCTGTATCAGGCCATAGTTACTTTAACCTTTCCTGTATAAGACCACTGTTACTTTAATCTTTTCTGTTTCAGACTACTGTTACTTTAACCCTTTCTATATCAGTCCAGTTACTTTAACCCTTTCTGTATAAGAACATTGTTACTTTAACTCTTTCTGTCCTAGACTGTTTCAACCCACTCTGCCTCAGATTGTTGTTACTTGAACCTTTATGCCACAGACTGTTGTTACTTTAACCATTTCTGTCTCAGATTGTTGTTACTTGAACCTTTATGCCACAGACTGTTGTTACTTTAACCATTTCTGTCTCAGATTGTTGTTACTTTAACTCTTTCTGTATCAGTCCATTGTTACTTTAACCCTTTCTATATTACAAATTTTTTCCAG